CATGGACACATCCTGCCCGTCCCCTCAGCGGCCGCCGCCTAGCGGTCCCAACCCTCGGGCTAACCAGAGGGTCGGCCAGCGCGGTGCCTTCGCCGAACAGATTCAGGAACCTTCGGATGGTCTTCAACTGTGCGTCGTTTTCCTTCGCGCCAGCCGCCGCCGCGTGACGGGCCAACTTGAGCTTCGTCAGCTCGCCGTCGATGCCGGATGCAAAGCCGGCGCGCCGCGCGCGCGCCGCGGCGCTGCGGGCCCGGGAAGGGGCATGCCCCAGCTCGCGAAACATCGCATCCACCGCCAATCCAGGATCAGCCTTGGGGACCCGAACAGCTGGCTCACCGCCCCCCTAGGCCCAAGCATGGCATCTGCTGCTGCGAGCGCAGCCCGCGCCATCTCGGGCCGCCGCACGCTGTCGCCGGCGCCTTCAGCCGAACAGGAGGGCGCCCCCATCCGCGACGGTTGCAGCTTGGTTGGCGCGCAGTGGCGCCTGACATTCCGCCTCGAGTTATCGGGGTGCGCCTGGGCGCGAGCGGTGAATCCTCCATGTCGACGCTTCCATATATTGCCCCGGCTGCTCTTCAAGAAGTGGCGCGCGCTCCTGTCCCCAAATTTGCCGCTGAAGCAACTTCGCGTGCGCTCAGCTGGTGCGCCTTGCGTCGCGTGCGATTTCATTGAAAGCCTGCCGCGCGAACTCCGACTGCCCGCTCGGCGCGGCTGCGCCCTCCGCGCGCAGCCTGGCAAGCCAGCCAGCCAAACTGTTGCCCAGCGCCCGCGTCGGATCCCGGCCGGGAGGGCCGCGACCTTCCGCCGCGCCCGTGACATCCAGGTGCGACGGGCGCGACTCAAACTTTGGAACCTCCTTATAGAGTTGGCCGCGTGCTCGCGCGCCCACGCCTGCGCAGCTCAGGATATGGGGAATGTTTGGCCGAAGCGTCTGCCAACAAAAGCCCATCGTCATCGCCTACTCGGTCTTCCCAACTGCCGTGGAAATAAATTGGCCGCTGATTCCCTGGCGCCCCGGGCGTGGCGGGGGGCCGCGGTGCGCCGACCGAACATAAAACGCAATGACATCAACAGCCCCCCCCGCGCATGGTGTTACGTGCAAGTGCCCTTCTCACGAACATTGCCCAGCTCCCCGGGCATCGGGCGCTCTTCCGCGAACATCTCTGCCGTGCTGGTCCATCGGCCTTCGCGCGGCCTCTGCGCGGCGCGTCGCTCGCCGCGCCGCGGTCGAAGATCCTGGCCGCGACGCGCTTGAACCCCTGCCGCCAAGGGTGACTTGACCGCGGCGGCCTTAGCGCCGACGCATAACTGGAGACAGCGAGCCCAAACCAGAAGACCAGGTTTTGCCGTGGGATGTTGCGCGAGAGTGCAACGCACCTGCCGCCGTCGGACGCCTGGCCCGAGCAACCCCCTCGAGAACTTCGGCGGCTCATTATGATATGAGCGGCGATCGCCCATCCAACTCTCAACGGCGAATGGCCGAGCACAATAATGTGACTTTTCGCACTTTGCCAGCAAACCACTTCGCCGACCATATTCCTCCATGCCCTGTTGATCTCTCCAAGACCTCCCTCCTGCTCCCGGATCGCCCTGCGCAGCGCGAGCGTAGGCGAGGTTTTGGCGTCGAGCGCTGGGTCGCAACCCGCGTCCTTCTGCGTGGCCAAATGCACAATGACGCTGGCGCCGCGACCAGGGCATCCGGCCACGCGAGCAGCCAGACTTCACAACCTACGCAGTTTTACATCTAATCTGCTACTGGCCATTGCACCATGCCCGACCGACGGCGATAACCCATCTCTCTCAAGCGCCGCGATCCTGCACCCCGACGTACCCTTGAATGGAAACGCTCTGTTTAACCGGTGCTTCAACGCGACTGGTCGCTGCTTTGCCCGTGCCCTTCGCGCAACTTTGCCATGCAACTCGCGCCCGGGGTTGGCCGTGTGCTGCCGCCCGGGTATCTCGCAAAACTCCGACGCCAATCGAAGGCTGCGCGCCGTCGGCTGGCGTCAACAGGGCGGGCCGTGGCGACATCCAGCAGAAATATATTGACCAGGGCGAAAACTCAATAACGCGTGGCTTCGCGTGGCCAATCGTTTCGGGGAATTCGTGCGGCGAGTTGGCTCCATCAGCGCCTCTGGCGAAATGCTCTCGAACGCCTTCCATGCGTCCAGTCGCGCGGAGTAACGTAATGCTTCCCAATCAGCGCCGCAACTTCTGCTGCCATGATATGGCGAAACGCTGGTGCACTTGAGGACCTGTCTGCGTCGCCCGCTTCCCAATCTGACGGCATGCAGTTTTCGCGCAACCACTTTTGGGGGACATCCATTCGCGCCCGTGACCACATCCGGATCGCAAAATTGGCGTAACCAGTGCGCCGACTCCCTCCGCTGGGTTTCGGCGATCTCACCAACGCATTGAAGACGCGTTTCTCGGGCCAATAACCCATCAGCTCGCACTTGTGCGTCGAACGCCGCGCCCCCAGCTCTGCGTCGCGCGCGCGACAGACTGCCTCCGGTGCAACGCCGGCGTAACCAATGGAAGTGCGACTGGGGCACCCGAGGATGACCTGCCCCAGGAAGCCCACGGGCACCATGCGCATTGACTCCCAAGACTCCACGTCGTTCGGCGCTCCCACATAGCATATCCGTGATGCCCCCCAATGCCGCACGGCACTCAGCAAATTCTCGGTCAACCATCTTGCATGGCTGGCCCTGGTTCATTGTCTTGGGCGCTTGTTTGAAGGGGCCCCAGGACACACACACATAAATACACACAAATCGCTAGATTTCCAATATTTTCATATATTTGCTGGGTTTGTGTCTCCCCCCAACTTCCCATATGTTTCCGCATTTTCCTGGGAATCGACGATCAATTGTGCGTGTGTGTGTGTGTGGTTGTGTGTGTTTCCCTCCTGAAAGGATTTTCGTTGGCTGATGGGCGGCCCCAGCGCCGTGCGAACAACTCTGATCCGCCTGCTGCCTCCATCCCCGATGCCTGCGCTTGATTGTGGCCTTCTCCTCGGTCTCTGCCATCTTTCAAGGGGCCCAAGGACACACAAATAAATGCACACAAACAGCAGGATTCCCCATGTTTTCACATATTTTAAAAGTTTTCGTCTCCCCCCCCACTTCCCATACTTTCCCATATTTTCCTGGGAGTCGACGATTAATTGTGTCTGTGTGTTTCTTTCCCTCCTGAATCTTGATGGCAGGGTCTGTTCTGACCTTGGATGTTCCTCGCAGAAACAAAAGAAGTCCATCTTGACAGAAACTCGCCGTAATCGAATCCGAATGTCGGCGGACCTCCTGGCGGCGCGACGCTTGCTGAAGACTAGTCGCAACGTCTTTGGCCAACTTTGCATTCGGAGCTACGTTGCGACTGCGACAACCCACGCGCCAAATTTGTTGCCGACGCCTGCTGGCCGGACCTGCCCAATGCGTATTGAACGCCTGCAGATGCTTGCACCGCGGGCCCGCGTTTTTCCAATCAAGTGCAGACTCAGAAAGTGAACTGCGTCTTTGAGACGGTTTCCAATCCATCTTTTGTTTCACTTCAGACAGTTTGGTCCTGCGCGCCCGACATGCCGTTGCCTGGCGTGCCTCCGTAGCCTCATCGACCCACTAGGTCCACCTCGATCTCAGTCAGCGCCGCGCCCCAAGCTGCAAATGGAATCAGTTGGTCATGTGCTGCCTCCAATATGTGCCGCCCGCGCGCAGCTCCATCTCTTGGGAACGCATCTTTTACTTCCGCCGCCTTCCGCCGGTTTCCGCTGGCGGAGGCGGCCTCGTTTTACTTCCGCCGGCCTTCCGCCGCCTTCCGCGGCGGAGAAGATGACAGCTCCTTCGATCTTTAAAGGCAAGACCTTTTTTGGAACGCCCCAGATGGAAGGAGGGAAGGTGGGGCTGGGCCACACAGCGTGTGGCGTACGTATGCCTTGGGAATCTGACCCCTCTCACATATCCCTCCTTTGTCTGAAGGCGGTAGTCGCGGCGCGCTGGAGCGTCCGAGATGGCCCCAGATGGCCCAAGACGGCGTGCAGTACGGCACAATATAGCTTAGGACTGAAAAGCAGCTTCCAACTCTCCTCCACGAGGCCCCAATGCGCTCAAAGACAGCTGCAGGCGGCCTCGGAGCCTCCCAGCTGCGCCCCTCCTGGCCCCAGCTCGCTCGGCGCCTCCGGCAACAAACGATGACATGCTTGGCACTGCGACGCCTTCGCTTCCTTATGGGTCGCCGAGCCCTCGCGATGGCCCCACGACGATCCAACGGAGCCCCGAGAGGGCTCCCCGGCGGCTCCAAGACTGCCCCGCGAGCGTCGCGAGGGGGCAGGCGCCGCCCCTGCTTGCCGTCGCTCGGACGTCCATTTCCCGTGCATTTGTCGGTTTCGTGCGTTTTTTTTTTTTTTTTTTTTTGTTGGCTCGATGGTCCAGGATGGTCCTCGATGGCTCCCGCCGATAGAAAAGTGCACACGTCCGAGCGATGCCAAGACAAAGCCCCAACGTCTCCCAGACTTGTCCAGCCAAGGCTGCACGATGGCCCCGGAGGCATCCAGCGCGGCCCAGGAGAGGGCCCCGATGCTGCCCAAGTGCGCTGCCGTTAGGCTCCCGTGGCGAAGGATTCGCGAAAACACGTGCGGTTCACTCATGGATGGGTCTACTCTAATGTTGCATCCTCGGGGGACCTTGTCTGTCCCATCGCGGCCCTGTCCGCGCCGAATCCGTGTCGAATCCATGTCGGACGCGTCGGATCCGTGTCGAATCCGCGTCGAATCCACGCCAAATCCGCGTCGAGTCCGCATCGAGCACGCGTCGGGCCCCCCAAAAGACACTCATTTTTGGGACAGGCGAAGTCCCCCGAAGATGCAACAGAACTACTCAGGCTCATCCCGAGCTTGGGTTTGGCGGCTGCCCATCCTTTTTGTTCCGCGACTTCCTATGACATGTTCCTGCTCAAGTCAATCCGCCTGGGCATCGTTTCTGGTTGGACTGATGGGGATACGCGGAGCGCCAATGGTAAAAATGAAAGGGGCGAGGGAGGAGGAAAGGAGGAGGCGGAAGTCAGGAAAAACAGCTACGGGCGAACATCGCAAGCTCTGTGACAAGCAACAGCACACGTTTACAAACTACTCAAACCAACGTGGCGCTGGGTCGGTGGCAGCAGAACGGTGTACGTATGCACACCCGGTGTCCCGAAGCTGGAAAAACTATCGCTGTCTAGCCCGTGCCTACTTCCGCCTGCCTCGCGCAAGGATGCTGCCTCTCTGCCTCCCGTCGGCTCGCGACTCACATCACCGAATGCTGCCGTTCCCCTCTTGGAGAGGAACAACCGCCTACGCGTAAACGTCCGGAGGTTCGCGCGGATGTCCTCGGTCGGCGACTGGGCCCCTCTGGCGCGCGGGACGCGCCGGGGGCGGCGCCAGAGGCGCTGCCAGGGAAGCCCGGGCGCGGACCCAAGACCTCGCCATCGCTCGGACGTCCATTCCCTGTGTTTTTTTCGGCCTCGTGCGTGTTTTTTTCGCCAAGTGATCAAGGATGCTCCTCGATGGTCCTCGCCGAAGGGAAAATGCACACGTCCGAGCGATGCCAAGAGACATTCGCGCGGAGCTCCGACAGTCTGTGTTCATTGGTTTGTTTCTTCTTCGGCCTCTGGTGGACGAGGCCTTCGAGTCTTGAATGTGCCTGGTCAGCTTAGCAAGCCTCTCGGTGGCCTCTTCCGCATGGATGGTGGCCCCCCTGATCTCCCACTTCAGCGACTCCACGTCGACGCGCGTAGCTTGCCCCCTCAGCGTCAGGCACCCTTCGACGAAGTCGTCGAGACTGACGCGGCCCGAATTGTTTATGTCGAGGATCTTGAAGAGCTTCCATGTCTGCTTCACGTCAATGTCTAAAGTCCGCCGCCACCCGCTTGCTGGGAGCGACACGTCATGCCAGATGTTTGGTACCCCCCTGTTCACGTTCACCCTACCCGCCCTGGAAGTCCCAAATCCCCTTGAGGAGGAGGAGGAAGAGGAGGAGAAGGAAGAGAAGGACCAGTGTACGCATCAGCAATGTTGAAATGAACCCTCCCTCTAAGTTCCTTCTTCGTAGGGTTCTGCAAGAACTTGTTTTCAATGCGAGACATGCCTCATTAGAAGACAACCGTCTGAGAACCATCAATCGTGCCGAAACGCAATTCCTGTGACTTCAGCGTCTCGAACCAACGTGAATGTTGCGTCCTGACAACCCTACACCGTGCCAGAGCACACTTTCTTTGACCTCAACGCCGCAAGCAAACATGCTTCGTGCGTTCCGGCAGCCCTAAATAATGCCGGAACGCAGTTCCTGGAACTTCGACCATGCGAACCCTTGAAGCTGTTCGAAACTTTCAAGAAGAATGAGTGAGGCGCTAAGGCGAGAGCCACACGGTGGAAAAGAACCGTACTTTATCACTGCGGCTGTTGCGTATTGTAAGACTCATGTTCGCGGCTCTTACAGTCATCGGCCTGACCTAAGGAACGATACATGAGGAACGAAGCACCTTTTTATCCCAAGGAATACCGCATAAGGAACGATAAAAAAAAACAAATAACGCATAAGGAACTTTGAATAACGTATGCAAGCCTAAGGAACGGCCGAGCCCCTTTTGAAGAGCGAGTGTTCCTTATTCAAGCCGCTCGCTGTAAGCGAGAAACGCATTTTGAAATGGACGCGCCCTCCATCCGTGAGGCTGTTGCAGACTTACACGACCAATCCAATGTGCGCAGCGCTCCGGCGGAAGCTACCTTTTGCAAACACACCGCCCTGCATCCGTGAAGCTGCTGCACACTTTTAGGCCCAGTGTGCGCGGCGCTGAGGCGAGAGCCACATTCTGAAAACGGCCCGCACTCCATCTGTGAAGCTGTCGCCAATGTCAAGCTTCAAGATCACACGTGGTGGGAACGTCTCAGGCCTCAGGCGAGACGCCCGGCCCGCCCTGACGAACCGTCCTGGGGGCGTGACAGGGAGGAGTCATGCACAAGGGAAGGAGGATGGAGGAGGGGGAAGGAGGCAAATGCTTCGCGGGGGATTATGATTATGATGATGTTACTGATGATGATGCTGCTCCTGATGATTATTGAAGGGTTATAATGGTGATGCTGATGATGATGATGATGATGATGATGATGACGGTGTTGATGACGGTGTTGATGTTGGTGGTTATGCTGATGATGAAGAGTGTGATGCTGATACTGATGCTGATGATCACGGCGTACGTTATGATGGCAATTCGGATGATGCTGCTGATGATGATGCCGCTTAAGATGACGATGATGGTGCTCTTTGTTGGCAACGACGATGTGGATTACGTCCATGCTGGTTGTGTTGGTGGTACTAGTGATTGGGATACTGATCGTGAACCTGAGGACGACGACGCGACGACTACGACGCGTCGAGGACGAATATGAGAAATACGGATAATATCATGATGATGGCCGCGATGATGCTGCTGATGATGATGATGGTGATGATGATGCCGATGACGATGACGATGCCGATGTCGATGACGACGATGATGCTGATGACGATGATGTTGATGCTGATGCTGAGGATGATGATGGTGCTGATGGTGATGACGATGATGATGACGACGGTGATGAGCTAGACCTGAAGGGATAATGAGGACGATCATGGGGAGGCTGAGGAAGAGGAGGAGGGAAGAAGGAGGACACGCGGAGTAGGACAGGAGGATGAGGACGAGGGGGCTTTCCAATACTTCTTTTACGACAGCGCAGCAGCCAGGACGCGCTGCCGTCAATACACTACGATTATCCTTTTTCAGATCATCACGCTAAGCACTGGCACCATGAACACTAATGGTTTTGGCACCGCGACCCTGCTGAACCACGAACGCTGGCCTCGCTCGCATTTCCATACCATCCCCAACGGCTAGGATGGCAACCTGGGGACACGTGACATCACAAGGGGCCGCCGCATCCGGGCGTCGCAGACAGTACCGATCCTGAACCATGACTGCACTTTGGGCTTTGCCAACTGGAAGTGGAGCTCAGCTGCTGTCAGCTCATTACTTGCGCCATCGGAACTGTCTTCCCTCATCTCCCGGAAGAGCAGCTCCAACCGGTCGACGTACGTCTGCTTCTCTCTGAGCTGAGCCTGGCCGAGCGGCGACGTTGACAACGGCGGCGGCCAAAACGAGGACACAGACGAGGACGACGTCGATGACGACGAGGACGAGGACGACGACTTCGTTTGCTTCTCCTTGCGCTGAACCTCGATGGAGAGGTCCAAATCTCGCTGAGCCCCTTCGAAGGCGTTCTGACAGAAGACGCCTGCCGGGTGTTGCCGGGAACTGTCCCTGGCCCACGGTGTCCCAAAGATTTCCTCGGAGGCCCCCGCGGCCTCCGAAGCACCCTGCAAGAGGCCCAGAAGGACCCGGGGGCTTCACAATCGAAAAGCTGAGGGGCACCTTGGGCCAAGTGCACTTTCAGCAACCCCCGAGCCTGTCACCACGTTCAGTATCCGCTGGCCCAGCGGGCAGAGGGCGTGCTGAATTGTTTGGTTGCACGACGCTCAACACATTTGCGGATTACCAGTTCGCGCGCGCGTTGCGGCCCCGGGGGGCCTCGGAGGAAAAACGCCCTGGTAAGGCCTCGGGCCCTTGGGGAGGAGGCCCTCGCGTCCCCCCGTAGACGCCAGAACTCTACAGCCTCAGGATCGCCCGAGCAGAGCTCCAAGGGCCCTGAGACCCCGAGACGGCTCGAGAGTGCTCCAAAATGGCCCAGGATACCATCAAAATGGCAAAAAAACTGCCCCCCAGGCGGCGACATCCCTGGTGTACGTTCCGGTTTTGCGTTGTTTCGTGAGCAAATAAGAGCGTTGACGAACACAAACAGGTGTACATTTTCCACAACATAAAAGTATTTGCAGTCCACACTATTTGATCCACACCTGTTATCTACACATAATTGTTTGTATATTTGTATATGCACAAAGATGTATGACAGCCAGCGTGGGCCCCAACCAGTGTGCCTCTAGCAATGTATGTTGTGCAACAAATGTTGTGCATTCTATGTGGTGCAATCTGTGTCGTGCAACCTACGCAGTGCGATCCCGGTTTACAACCCATGGGGCGCAACCGTATTGTAGGCAGTCTACGTATTGCAACCTATGATGTGCAATCTGCGTTGTGCAATCTATGTGGTACAACTATGTGGTACCATCAACTTTTAACAAATCAGCTGGGACATTATACGTTCTTGTAAACATCCCACACACCCACCCGCAACTTGGTTTGCAAAACGCATGCGGCCGCGTTGGCGATGAGTGCTTGGCGTTGGCTGGTGCATCTCTGCGGCCGCGCCCGCCGCGGCCGCGGTGGCGCTGACCGTTGAAGACTTCCCAGCGGGCACTTCAGTGCGAGTCGGTGACCTGGGCGGGCGCGGTCTCATGGCGACGCCCACAACGGTACACAATATTAAAACGATGGTGACGAAGGTGGCGATGACGACGGCAAGGCCAATGACGGCGCCGACATTGGTCACGCCCGCCGATGATGACGATGTCCTCGCGTCGGCGATGAAAGTTTTGAAGGATCGGCATGGGCGCGCGGCCGACGCGCGCGATTGGCCCGCGTGGTACGATTTTACACGGATCGTGCCCCCCCCCCCCCCCCCGCGCGCAAGGGCGGTCGCATGAGTTCGTCGTGCGGCGCGAAAGGCCCGTTTGGCAAATTTGATGAAAATGTGGGAACACCGGTGGTTTTCTTAAGAACCCGCAAGAGCGCGAACGCAGGATTCTTTGGAACGCGGATGCTGCAACGTCGTGTTGTTTGCTTGAATATGTGTTCGGGGAACTCGACGTTGACTTCCATGCGGGCCCAAAATATTGTCAACGATTTCGGCATGCGCGCGCGACGACGCGCGCGCAAGCACTTCGTCTCGCTTTATACACATATAAATGCTTGTATGTACACATTTATATATGTATATACACATGTATGCATGTGTGTATGTATATGTATATATGGTCGCCCCCCTATGATCATACAGATTCGTTTCTCGTGCGGCCGCCGATCGATATCTTCGCTCTCCGTTTCCTTCTCCTGTCCCTCCCTGCTTCTCCTCCTCTTCCTCCTCCTCCTCCTCCTCCTACCCCTGCTCCTCCTCATCGGAATCTTCGAAATGGCCCAAACCAAAAAAAACCTTCAGATGCCCCCCCCCCCAACAACAAAAAAAGCAAACCAAAACAACACAACACAAAAAAACCTATGATTTCGGGGGAACTTCTGGGGGGGGCCTGCCAAGGTTCTCCCGGAATCATCGGTATGCTTTTTTTGGTTTTCTGAAAGGTTTTCGCTGGCGTTCGTCTTCCTCTTCCTCCTCCTCCTCCACCTCCTCCTCCTCCTCGGCCTCCTCCTCCCCCTCCTTCTTCTCCTCCTCCCCCTCTCCCCCTCCGCCGTCATGCCGCCATCCGTCAGCGTGGGGGGTAGATGCCGCGATTCCATCGATTGCCAGCCAATCTGTCGCAATCGTTGCGTTGTCATGTTTCCACGCGGAGCGCGCGCATAGAGGTCGACAAAAGATGGTGTTTTCATAAGCGAGCGCGCGCATCGCGCCGACTGCCATCGGCTACGACCGCGTCGCGCCTCACGCGCGCTCGCACGGCGCGGCCGCCTCTTCAGTCGGCCTCGCTGCGGCGCGCCGTCGCCGACCCAGAGGGCGGCTCGGCCTCGTCAAGCATGCGCTCGAGCTCTGCCGACAGACCGTCCTCCTCCTCGAGGGCGATCGTTTCACCGTGGGCCGAGGCGGCAATGGAGGCGAAGATCGCCTCCTGCTCCTCGGCATACACGGGCGACGACGGACCCCCGCAGCCCATCATGAGCCCTCTCGCCCTCTTCACTGGCGGCGGCGAGGGCAAGTCCTCGAACGCGCCGTGATGCGCCTTGGCGAGGCTCTTGAACATCGCAAGCTGCTCATCCTGGTCCTCTCTGGTGAGTTCGCCGCAACGCCCGGCGATGTCGGGCTGCGCGGAGCTGGCAGCACGCGAGCTCTCTTCTGGCGGCTCGTCCATTCCGCCGCCGGAGCCGAGCGCGTCCTCCTCCTGGGACAAGTCGGCCGGCGGCTGGAAGGACGAAGAAGCGGCCGCGGCGGCTGGCGGAGCGCTGGCCGCGCCTGAATCGAACCCCGAAATGTTGCCGACAGCGGAGACAGTGCGTTCAGGGCCATCGCTGAACATTGGAGCAATGTGGACAGTCGCAACCGTGGGCACGTCAAGGACAGCGACCACATTGCCCATGTATTCAATCGACCAAGCCATCTTGTCGGCGTGGTCTGAGGGGAGCGGGCGGGTTGCTGGTGACGTGGTGTCCCGCGCCTCGCTGACGCAGAGGTCGGGGCTCCTGGGTTTGGGCCGCGGTGCGAATTCTGCTCCGTCCTCCAGGTTGGCGGATGCCGCGCGCCAATGCACCCCGAGTTCCGTCGCAACGATGACGCGCGCCCTGGCGAGGATGGCGGTGAAGTCCTCCTCTGCCCTGACCTCCCCCAGAGACGGATGGGTGATGCGCCTGAGCAAGTCCAGGTCGTACTTGTTTCGTGTCGCGGCATCCAGCGCTGCCTTCTCCGCGTCGCGGTCGTAGGGGTTCGCGACGGCCTGTCTGCGCGACCCTTGCTCAAAAGCGCAGCCGCCCCGCCGAGCCCAAATCAGAGCGTCCTCCTCCGCGGGGTTCAAGAGAGACGCGAGCACGTCGGCGGATGCCTTCAGGCGGCCAAGCGATCGCCCGACCGTCAACGCCACCGCGACTTCCCCTTGGGAGGGTGCTGCGGTGGAAGGAACCACAATCTCCCTGGAAGCCGCGGGCGGCAATGGCGAGGGCAACGCGAGGCCACCGAACCTTCTGAAGGAGGCCGTCGTCGAAAATGCCAGGGAAGACCTCCGTCATTTGTTCGCCCTTGAAGATCCATATGCTTCGCCGTGAGGAAAGCGATCTCATCGGCGGAGCCCTTCTTCTGTATGCTGTGCGCCGCGTGAATCCAAGCCAGCGTCTTCGAACCGTTGCTCTTGCCCACCCTGGACTTCCCGACCCGCGGCGCCCCGTGCACGTGGAGCGCGCCAATCATCAGGCGGAGGGCGCCGTTGAGGAACCAGCCAGAGAAGCCCTTCAGCATCAAACTCCAGCGCGAGATCGGTTTGGCATTCGCCCTGCCCTTCTGGTGGTTGCGCAACGCAGTCTCCATCTTGGGCGCAGACCGTCCGAATATCTTCGACGCCTCCCTGTTGACCTCTGCCTCGGCCCATTCCGTGAATTTGTCTCTGTTATTGCTGCGGGGGCCGTGTTCGCGGATGAACGCGTATCCCTGTGCGCGCTCGTCCTCCTCGAGCGGCTGCTCCCGCTCGCGCTGCGGCTTGATCGCGAAGTACCTTGCGGTGGAGACGCTGAATAAATATACACTCGGTGAGGAACCCAAGGCCTCGCGACCGATGAGTCGCCACAGATGGGGCGCTCAACTCGTTTTGAAGCGGGGGGCAGGGGGGCTGCGCCTGAGCTGGCAGACAGGAGGGGGATCCTTATCCAAGCGCGCCCACCGTATTTGATAGCCCTCGAGCTTCTCCAGCATGAACTGGAGCGCAGCCGCTCCCGTCCGAAAGTTTTTACCATAATCGATCCTGTGGGCCCCCCCGCGAGCGCACTTGAGGATGGTCGCATAATCGACTCTGTTTTCCCGAGAGAGACGACCTTGAGGATGCGGTATGCCGAGCGCTCGCTGTCCTCTGGCTACTGGCGAACAATGAAGAGCTGCATCGTGCACGGGGTGGCGGGCTCCTGATTGAGGGGCAGCGGCCCCTGCAAGTCCTTGAACTTTCCCTGGGCGCGCAACTCGTGGACCTTGTCGAAGTCAATCGGGCCCTCGCAATTGGGGGCCACGTCAGCGAACGCGACCAACTTCGCGGCACTCGAGTTCGCAATCGGTAGCAGAAGAAGGTCAAAGATAGAGAGGTCACCAGCGAATGACAGCCTGTCCTTCTAGACGCACGTCGAGGGGTGGTAGTCTAACTTGCTGCCGCTGATCATCGGCGACGCCACCTCAAACGTGGGCTCGCCGTCGCCTGGGCGTCGTGCGCGACCTGCCCCGGCGAGTGCACCTGGTCAGCAGGGGCGCTCGCCGCGACTCGTGGCGAGAGAAAGTCGGCTCGGGCGGAGGCCTGGGAGGGCGGTCAACAGCGCGCAAGCGGTGGTCGCAGACGGCCGCGGATGCCAGCTGAGCACCTGGGGAGGGAGCGACGACGACGAACGATGCCATGCGCTGGGTTCAGGCGTATTCGCACGCTGCCGTGGCAAGGGCTCGGAACAGAGGGATGTCGACAGTCGGCGCGACGCGCGGCAGGCAAGGCGCGCCTGCTGCGCGCTGCCCTTTTTTCCCACTCCGCTCCAGCGTTATTGAAGCGGGAAAAATCGTTCGCGAATGTCAGATAATCTGTGCGGGACAGCATTGGCCGCTGGCTGCCGCGCTCCGCATGCGCGAGAAACTTGAAACCGAATCGCCCCTCGCCCCCCTGCGCCCCCGCCGGCGCGCCTCAGAACGTGGGCCCCATTAAGTCGTAAATCATGGCGCCTGTGGCCGCCCACAGGTCCTGTCCGCGATGCCTGTGCCCCCACTGCGCGGAGCGGATGCGCGCAGCAGTCGTCCTGTTGTGCGGCTTATAGGTGCGTAGGCCAATGTGGTTCTTGACGTGCGTCCACGCCCTGTCGATGATCTGCGTGCCCGCCTTGGCCTTTACCACCGTGTCGCTGGGGGGTCTGTGCCTTGCGATTTTTGGAGCGCGCGGGCTTGAGCCGCGCCCATTTCCCCCCGCGCATCACGCGCTTCTTGCAATGCCTGACGGATTCGTGGAACATGCCTGGGGCCCGCGTCTTGTAGCTCCTGGCGCCCTCCGAATGGAGAAACACTTTGCGGTCCTTGAGGCGGTCCAGGAGGAAGGGCTTCCAGTCTGTCTTCTTGATTGCGCCTGGGCCAGGTGCCTTCTTCGTCGTGCGATCCGACTCCGCCGCCCTGAACAGCGCCGGCGTTTCTGGCCTGCCCCGCTGCGCAACTCCTGCCCGCTGCTCCCGCCCCTTCATCTCCTTGTCCTCCGTGGCCGCGGAAGCGAAGACGGACTCGTCGGCCGTTGCCGGACGCGATGTCCTTCTCGCACTTCTCCACGTACTGCTTGCGAGCCAGGTCGAGGTTGCGAGTGATGCTCTCGATCATCTCGTGGTTGACGCCGTAGTGGTGGTGGATCTGCGCGGTCGTCATTCCCGTGATGATGCCGAAGAGAACCCTCGTCTTGTCCTTCAGGGGCGACCTCTCCTTCCCCCTGCCACCTGCGAAAATTGGATGGCAATGGGCGGGCATCACCGGCTTGCCGCACCTCCTCCCATCGTTGCACCGCCACGCGCAGCCAGAGCCGACATCCCACTTCCTGACGTAGCGGTCGCCGAGGGTGCCCTTGCCGCAAAAGGGGCACGTCAACCCTGCCCAATCGAACAGGATGCCGTCCTTGATGAGCAGATCAACCAGCTCTGCGTCGGTGTCTGTTGTGAAAGAGTCTATGGTGCGGCACCAGCGTTGACGCTTTTCCGCGTCTTCGTCGCGCCCTTGGCCGTGCGGACGTATGAGACCGTCCTGTTGTCAAGTCCTCTGCGGCCCTGGACTCGGCCATTCCCTCTCTACGGTGCTGGGAGGGGGTTGAAGGCCGCGGCGGGGCGTTTCCTGCAATTGGTTTTCTTCGCGCTCCCAAAGGCCGCGGCAGGGCGCCTCCGAACCGACGTCCTGGCCGCGCGCTGGACGGACGAGGCAGAAAACCACGCCCGAAGAGCAGCTGTCGCAGGCCAGACGTTTGAGCCAAATGCTGCGGCGCGCAGCAGAAGAGGTAGCAGCAGTTAGTGTGCTATCACTGTTCATTGCTAAGGTTGTTCTGTCGGGTGTCTCTCGTGCGTCCTCTCCTGGGTGCCCCCTGTGGGGCCTCTCTGGGGCTCTTCCTGGGGCCTCCTGGGCGCCCACTGTGTGATGGCAGACAGACAGACATACGCGCGAATCCGCCGGCCGGCGGGCCGGCAGGCCCCTCCGGGGCGGCGCGGGCGGGCCGGAACCCGGTCACAGGCATGTGAACGGAGGGGCGGAGGAGGAGAAAGAGAATGATGGGAGAGAGGACGAAGAGAATGAGAGGTATATATATATATATATGTTCAGTAAATAAAATAAATGACTGGGAGAGGGAGAGAAAAAGGAACTATGCTGTGTGAACGAGAGAGAGAGAGAGAGAGAGAGAGAGCGAGCGAGCGAGACACAACGAATAGAAGAGAGAGAGAGAGAGAGAGACAGAGAGAGAACGACATACACAGAGAGAGAGAGAGAGAGAAAGAGAGAGAGAGAGAAACAGAGAAACAATGCAACAAAAGGGTACGAGGAACGGGACTAACAACACTGGAACGTTCAGAAGGGATGACGGCCCAAATATTGCCCAAGAAAACCAACAAACGCAAGTAAACGCACAACAAGACTTGCCAATCACATTCCGACAGATTTTAGTGTTCTCGCTTTCCAGGTTTCCGACAGCCGAGGACGGCCCCCAAGATCGCTCCAAGACGGCAGGAGTGGCCTCTCAGAAGGCCCCAGACGGACGTAGAGGGCCTCAAGATAGCCCACTGAAGCTCCCAAGACGGCCCAAGAGGCACCCAAGAGGAGCTCCGAGAACATGCCTCCAAGAGCCCCCCGAACCGCCCAAGAGGCCTCAAGAAGCTCCAAGATGTCCCCAAGCAGTTCCCAAGAGGCCCCTAGACGGGGGTCAGGGGATCAATTTTGAATCATTGCTGTTTTCGCTGGTCTGTGCACTAGCTATGTGGAATAAGAGGCTGCAGAGGAGTTCCATGTGGGCGTCGGTCGGACATGTCCTCCTACAGGCCGATTTTGGACGACACATCAAGCATAGTAAACAAATATTCTCGAATAGCCAAGAATAGTCAAACATATCGTCCCCTGACTAATTTTTGCTTTTTTACTATTTTTTGAATATTCCTCCCGTGGACGACTGAAATGTGGGCGCACGTCAAACGCATCTGGATAAAGGGCACCGGCCAGCGGGCCCCACTACCACGGAAACAACTTGCAACGACGATGCAGCAGGGGCTGGCGAAATGCGCGAAGCGTCTTGAATGAAGAAGTACACGAAAATAATGTACGCCAGAAATAAGACGATCCACGTAGAATTCCCAGTCTTGTGCAGTGAGTCGGTGAGGTAAATCCAATTGATACCTCCAGAGACGGCCATCCAAAGGCTCAGCATCGACCGATACAAGTCTCCGAAATCCGCCACCGCGCCTCTGGCACGCTGCAGCGTTTTGCAACGCCTGCTTGCTCTCCGCCAGGATACAGGGCAGTTTTTTTAACACACATGTTATAACTAATACATGATTAGTTTATGAATAAATGTATGCATGAACCCATCGTTGTTGTTTTAATACTAAATCCCTGCATTTCTAATACGTGATCCGCACGCGGAGCATGTATTTAAAACGCGCAGCACAGCGCAAGCAGCAGCGTCGGCGAGTTGTGCGTGGAAAGCCCCCTTGGGGGGGCGGGGGCCTCCTGGGGCGGAGGCGGGCGGCGCCACCGCTGGCGCGACACGGGCCACCCGTCCTGCCGCCGCCGCCTGCGACGACCTGTCTGGTAGGGTTCTCGCCCCTCGCCGCGCGTCCCTGCTGGTCCTCCTCCTCCTCCTCCTCCCTCTCCTTTTCTTCCTCCCTCCTCCTCCCTCCTCCTCCTCTTTCTCCTCCTCCTCCTCCTCCTCCTCCTCCTCATCCCTCCTCCTCCTCCTCCTCCTCCTCCTCCTCCTCCTCCTCCTCCTCCTCCTCCTCCTCCTCCTCACCCTCAACGACGACCTGTCTGGTAGGATTCTCGCCCATCGCCGCGCGTCCCTGCTGGTCTTGCTCTCTGGCCTTCTTTCTGGCCTGCAGGCGGCTCCACGACAACCAGAGATCGCCCAGAGGGGGCTGCAAGACGGCCCAAGTCAATCCACAGACGGACCAACGAGCCCCACGCGGCCCAAGAGGGTCCCAAGACGGCCAAGGATGGCTTCAAGAGGCTCTCAACACGCCCAAACATGGCTCCAAGAGGACGCCCAGGGGGTGCTCAACTTTTCCAGGATTTTGGCATGCTTGCCTCTTCGGGCTTCCGTGCAGTCCAGACGGCCCAAGAGGCCCCCGAGATTGCTCCAAGACAGCTCCCACGAGGGCCCCGAGACGGCCTCGAGACGGCCCACGAAGCCCCCAAAGATGGCACAAGAGGCCCCCAAGAGGGTCCCAAGAGAGGCCGGAGGAGGGGGAGCTCGAGTTGGCCTTGGGAGAGCTGCTCCCTCCAAGAGGGCCCCCACGAGGCTCTCCGCAAGCCCCAGCCAAGCCTCTAGCCTCCAAGATGCCTTCACGAGGGACGAGGAAGGAGGAAGAGAGGAAAAGGAGGAAGATGAGAAGGAAGGACGAGGATGATGATGGAATGGGAAGAGGAGGGGCGATGAGGAAGGAAGAGGAGAACGATGTTGTGGACAAGGAGGCTGTGTTCAAGGCCCGTTCTGGTCCAGCACCCTGTCTGAGCTGGAACGGGTCGTAAACTAACCTCCTTCCTGCTTCGCTAAGGCGTTGAGGCGGGGTTTGCCGCAAGCAACTGGATACAATATCAAGTCATCGTCCTCGATTTGCGTGCCACCTTTGGTGTGTTCCGTCACGGCCTGCGTCAAAATCACTCCAAAAGCGTACACGATCATGATGAGCAACATAAGTGCCCAAAAGACTGACCTACCGGCGAACAATATAGACTGCACCAACATCCGCAACGGCTTAAGCTGGCGGAACGTCCGAAGAAGACGAAGAAGCCGACTGAGGCGAAAGAGGCGAAGCATCTTCGCTGTTCCACCGTTCTCGAACATGTTCGGTTCGCTTCGAGTGAACTCCAGAGCAACCTCAAGGGCAACCTCGGTGAGCGCCAGAAGCAAGATGATCAAGTCGATGCAATTCCACGCTCTGTCCTCGATAAAAAAATCAGTTCTGAACACGTACAGTTTTGCTACAATCTCCATTGTGAACAAGAACGTGATGGCATAATTCATTGTCGACAGTGTTGACAATACCTCTTTCGAACCTGGCCCTTGGACGGACAAGCTAGAAAGAACCTGGGTCTCTATACCGATCAACAACGTGCTCAATACAATCAGAACTGCGAAAACCACTGTGAAAGAACGGCTCTTCACGAACCGAACAAAATGCCCCTCTTGTGCCGGCGATTTGACAGCGACAGGGCTCATGACCCCGATCGTGTTCCTCACCTTGGCGTCGAACCGTGACCTCTGACTACCTACCAAGCCACCCCCACCCAACCCGGAGTCGCCGTTTGGCCTGCCAATCTCCAGTGGTGGGCGGGGGGCGTCCTGTAACATCGTGAAAACACCATGGAACCCGTAAACCCCCCAACCCGAAACCTTGGGGAGCCGGGGACCTTCCGGTTATATGGAGCCTCCTAGATGGGGTCGGAGTAAATGTGGTCGGAGGGATCGCGCCGCGTCGCCGATACATCGACGATGTATCGGCGATGCATCGGCGATGCACCAGCGATGCATCGTCGACGTGGGCGATGCATCGGCGACGTCGACGTGGGGCAAGTCGGGCTCCACATCGAGCCACATCGTCGATGCATCGTTGATACGGCGCGATCCTTCGACCCCATCTACTCGGACCCCATCTAGAATGCCTAGAGGTTAGGTTAGGGTGGTGTGGCAAGTGGTGGACCTCTCGTTCACCGAGCTGAATCCTCTCGTGAGGTGAGCGGTGCGCCCCTCGTTCGTCTCCGAGCTGATCTGCGTGTCTCTCTCGTCGTACTCTCCTTGGGGGGGTAAGGCGAGGGCTGACCAGCCACTTGCAGATTTGGTGCTCGCGCTGTCAATGCTCTGCTCTCCTAGGCCTTTGCAGCGTCGCCCGCACCCTGCTTTTGCATGTCCGAGCTCCGTGGCTGTCTGCACGCCCTCCTGTTCTCAGCTGCGTTCTTGCTCTTATGGACACTGCGCAGGCCTGACGAACGCTTGAGAGGTCCCTCCTCCTCCTCCTCCTCCTCCTCCTCCTCCTCCTCCCTTCCTAAGCAGGCACCCCGCCTGTGCTCGAGCGCCTCCTGCCCCTCCGCAGGCCTCGCCGACGGGGCAACACCCCTCAGAAGGCGGCGAACGGGGGGAGGAGGAGGAGGAGGAGGAGGAGGAGGAGGAGGAGGAGGAGGAGGAGGAGGAGGAGGAGGAGGAGGAGGAGGAGGAGGAGGAGGAGGAGGAGGAGGAGGAGGAGGAGGAGGAGGGGAGGGTGCAGTAGAGGGGGTGGGGAGAGGATGAGGATGAGGATGAGGATGAGGATGAGGATGAGGATGATGATGATGATGATGATGATGATATGATGATGATGATGATGATGATGATGACGATGAGGATGATGATGATGAGGATGAGGATGAGGATGAGGATGAGGAGGAGGAGGAGGAGGAGGAGGAGGAGGAGGAGGGGGGCAGTCCAGAGTAGAACCGAGCACGCCTGCGATGGGGCTGAACTGTCCGCCCTGACGCAGCAATCATCCCCTAGGATGGTGAGCGTCTTCTTATTCGGCGCTTCGATCTTGGGCGGAAGGGGGGGGCCCCCCGGGGGGGGGGGGGGAGCGGGGGGTCTGGCTCCGGACCTCTGCTTCACGCGACTGTTTGCAACAGGCGTCCTATGGGGGAGACCCCACCGGCTTGAAACAGGAGCCAAAAACCGCCAAAATCTACTCCATGGGGGGGGGGGGGGTAGAGGAGGGGTGCGAGGGCCCGCGCCGAACGGCAAAACAAGGAATAAGACAACAATCACATAGAGAGGAAAGAGGAATTGTTTCAAGACCCTGGGCCTCGAAACATACCTTGTAAGAGACTCCCTGCCTTCTTAGAAGGCCCCCCCCCCAAGTCCCACCCTAAAACGGAATCCCCTCACAGCCGCCCCCTTGCCCCCCGCCCCCCCTCTACGGCCAGGATTCCCAGCCGCGTCTAGTGTGCGGACGAGGCATGGCGGGGCTCCGAAGGGCCTCAAACGAGTTGGACAGGTGGAGGGCGAGGGTTCTCCACTTCTTCCCAACGGACTGTTTTTTTGTTCCCAGCGGACGGGGTTCTTTCGCGGCGGAGCGCTGGGAAAGAATCCAGTTTGGTTAATTTTTTCGGAGAACACATCGCACGACGATTTTGCTTGCAACCTCCCAAGATATCCTTGACGACTCGCACTTGAGATTAGCAGTACTCAGCCTGACAACACAAACAAACAGCGGCGGACTACACATGCTCACATATAGAACTTCACGACTGGCCATACGCTTGCATACGCATAAGTATCTAGAGCATTCCCCTGCGGACCTGTAGCATGCACATTATTCATATAACGTAGCACTCCTGTAGTGTTCCTGTACCGCACGTCAGGCACCGCTATCGCATTCTAACCAAAACATGTCTTGACCACTAACCTTACCACCACCACAAACCAAACCCTACACAACCGCACTAACACCACCCTACATGGAATCCTACACAGGATCCCAAACAACATCCGGATCTGTTCCTCTTAAGTGCCCACCGGAATCGCTTAGGAATCGTTCGGGAATCCCGCAGGAACCTCTCAGGAATGCCCAGGAATGCTCAGGAACCTCTCAGGGAGTCATCACAGATCTTAGAATAATCGTGATGAATCTATCGCAAATCCTCTGGAATCCGCCTGAAAGAATCCTCTGGAATCCGCAGCAAATTCTCCGTCGGAGTATTCAAGAATCCCAGAGGAATCCTGAGTTCAGCAATCCTTCAGGAATCTCTCGGAATCCTTCGGCATGTTCCACGGATCCCTCAAGAATGACCCAAAGATCCGACAAGACATCTGGACGAATCCATTACGAACCCTCACAAAACCTTCACTACGACTCCCTTAGGAGTCCTCATATATCCCGTTGGGATCCTTACGAAGGCCCTGGGAATCCCTCAACAATCCGTTCAAATCCCTCGTGAGTTCTTTAGGGGCCCCTGAAGAATCCTTGAGGAATCCTCATGACTCCCCTCCGAATCCGTCAAGAATTGCGGAGGAACCCCCAATGACTCCCTCAGGAATCCTCGGGAATCCCAGGAAGGAGCTCTTGAAGAACGCCCAGAAGGAGCCTTTCAGTAGGGCCTCTGATGAACATCTAGCCGCCAGAACTGGAGCATTGTAAATCTGATTCAACCGCATTTACGGACAACGATCCAACATACCAGGAAAGGGCCCAGTGCACCAGGACAACTCACATCATGGGAGGGGAAGGGCGGAACCCCCCGCCGCCACGAGATAGAGGTGCCCCTGGACACGGTGACGACGACGACGACGACGACGACGACGACGACGGCGGCGGCGGTGGCGACGAATACGGCGGCGGCGAAGATGGCGGCGTCGACGGCGGCGGCGACAAAGACGGTGGCTTCGACGGCGGCGACGACGGCTCGGGGGCGCACTGACCCGGGCCAAGGCAAACTCGGGTCAGTCAGGTCCTGCAAGATTATGCAAAATCCTGCGCGCAAGCCCGGGCCAATGCAACCCTGGCTCTGCAAGATCCTACAAGATCTGGCGCTCTGGCTGACCCCCGTTTGCAATGACCCCCGTCTCAAGGTACCCGAACGACGACGGCGACGACGTCGACGACGTCGACGTCGAAGCCGACGACGACGACGACGACGGCGTCGACGACGACGGCGGCGGCGGCGCCAGCCTCCGCTGTCCGTGGCCGCGCTGACGGCCCGGGGCGCCGCGAGCTGCTGGGCCGCGCGGTCCCCCGCGTCCGTGGCATCGCTGACGCCGGAGATCAGCGAGCTCCTGCGCCGCGGGGACCGCGCCGCCGCTCGCCGTCGCCGACCCTCCGCCGTCGGTCGTCGTTCCCGTCGTCGCCGTCGCCGACCGTCGCCGTCCGCAGCGCTCGCCGTCGCCATCGCTGTCGTCAGTCGTCCGCTGTCGCCGCCGTCGCCGACCGCCGTCGTCGCGGTCGTCCTGCGCCGTTCGCCGTCGCCGTCGCCGACCGACCGTCGTCGGTCGTCGTCCGGCGCCGCCGTCGCCGACCGTCGTCGTCCGTCGTCGTCGTCCGTCGCCGCTCGCCCGTCGCCGTCGCCGACCGTCCGTCGTCGGACGTCGTCCGTCGTCGCCGTCGCCGACCGTGGTCGTCCGCCGCCGCTCGCCGTCGCCGTTGCCGTCGCCGTCGTCAGTGGTCGTCGGTCGTCGCTCCGTCGTCGCCGTCGCCGACCGTCGTCGTCCGTCGTCGCTCGCCGTCGCCGTCGCCGTCGCCGTCGTCAGTCGTCGTCGTCATTATCCTTCTCGTCGTCGCCGACTGTCTTCGTCCGTCGTCGTCGTCCGCCACCGCTCGCCGTCGCCGCCGCCGTCGCCGTCGTCCGTCGTCAGTCGTCACCGCCGTCGCCGTCGCCGTCAGCTGTCGTCGTCGTACTCCGCCGTTAGCCGTCGCCGTCGCTGACGCCGACCGTCCGTCGTCGGTCGTCGTCTGTCGCCGTCGCCGACCGTCGTCGTCCGTCGTCGGCGTCGTCCACCGCTGTCGCCGTCGACGTCGCCAACCCTCCGTCGTCAATCGTCTTCCGTCGTCGCCGTCGCCGACCGGGGTCGTCCGCCGCCGCTCGCCGTCGCCGTCGCCGTCGCCGTCGCCGTCGCCGTCGTCGGCCGTCGTCGTCCGTCGTCGCCGTCGTCCGTCGCCGTTCGCCGTCGTTCGTCGTCGCCGTCGCAAACCGTCGTCGTCCGTCGTCGTCGTCCGACGTCGTTTGCCGTCGATCGCCGCCGCCGCCGGACGCCATCGGTGTCGCCGTCGCCGACGGTCCGTCGTCGGCCGTCGTCCATCGTCGCCGTCGCCAACCGTCGTCGTCCGCTTCCGCTTGCCGTCGCCGTCGCCGTCGTCGGTCGTCCATCGTCGCCGCCATCGCCGTCGCGGACCGTCGTCGTCCGTCGACATCGTCCGCCGCCGCTCGCAGTTGCCGTCGCCGTCGCCGACGTCGGTCGTCATCCGTCGTCG